CCTTCAATTCTCCTGCAAAATGAATCTTTAGATTTAAAACCATGTGATTCTTCTCAAAATGGTATTTTGTTTTCAAATGACACACACAGGCCATCACATCAATAGAGTATTAGAAGATTAAGAAGAACCAGGTGATCACTCATGTGCTTAATGTAAAACACTGACCACTTCTTCTGACCATTCATCATAATGACTTACTGTAAGCTTTTTTTGTTCAGTGTTACACTTACTACAGACAGTACAGGCCTACATAAGTGCATTGTAAAATTTTCAGAATATTGTTTTTACACAGAACACACAAATACACGGTACCAAATATATTTTACTGTATTTTTCCCACAGAAACAGTGTACACAGTGTTCATCCCAACCAACACGAAATTGCACATAACGTGATCAACATATACCATCAACAGAAGGTTTTACAGAATACAGTTTTACTTGGTTTTACTTTCTTTAAACACGTACAGTTGAAGTTTTTTTTTACCCTTTCAGAAGATTTATTGCTTGTAATAATACCTAAATATTTAATGGTTTGCTTGAACTTAATTCCACAAACATCTGAGACATTAGAAAGATGAATTTCATTTTTTTTCTTTTTTTTCAGCATTCAAAAATAATTGTAATGCCTGTGATATTTGAGGGACTTGTTTTATTTTTATTATGTAAAAAGATACGTGCATCAGATATTATTAAAAAGTGTGGTCCAAAATCCTCAAATTAAAATACAGTAATTTACTGTAAATATTTTTCTTCAATATTTGTGCACTGTAAAATTATGAATGAAAATATGGGTAAAATCTTACTTGTAGTGAGTCAGTGAGGTCTCTGTGATTGTACTACACCCTTTAAAATCATAAAATTACAGTAAGGTGATTTACAGTAAATATTTTTCAAAAATATTTGTGTACTGTAAAATATGAATTAAAATATTGGTAAAATCTTACCTTTGGTAAGTCAGTCTTGTTTAAATCAATGTACTACACCCTTTAAAATCATAAAATTACTGTAGGGTGATTTACTGTAATTATTTTTTTTGTATTTGTGTACTGTAAAAATATGAATGAAAATATGGGTAAAATTTCACCTGTAGTAAGTCAGTCTGGTCTAAATGATTGTTCTACACCCTTTAAAATATTAAAAATACAATACAGTATATTACTGTAAATATTTTTTTCAATATTTGTGTACTTTAATAATACGAATTAATATATGGGTAAAATCTCACCTGTAGTAAATCAGTCTGGCCTGTATAAATCTACTACACACTTCAAATTCATAAAATTACTCTAGGGTAATTTACTGTAAATGTTTTTCTTCAATATTTGCGTAATGTAAAATTATGAATGAAAATATATCTAAAATTTCACCTGTAGTAAATTGGTTTGGCCTGTATGAATGTACTACACCCTTTAAAGCAGGCATGTCCAAACTACGGCCCGCGGGCCATCTGCGGCCCGCAATCAGTTTTGTGGCGGCCCGCGAGGCTTTTTATAAATATCAATAGAATCTGGCCCGCTATACAAAAATGAACGTAATTCAAAAAATAACCACCGGGTGTCGCTATTACATGCATTCAATTAAGCAGCAGTTCTTGTTATGATCTATATATCTGTCTGCCTGTCTGTCTGTCGGTATGTCTGTCAATCTATCTATCTATCTATCTATCTATCTATCTATCTATCTATCTATCTATCTATCTATCTATCTATCTATCTATCTATCTATCTATCTATCTATCTATCTATCTATCTATCTATCTATCTATCTATCTATCTATCTATCTACACACAGTTGAAGTCTGAATTATTAGCCCCTCTTTGATTTCCCAAATGATGTTTAACAGAGCAATGACATTTTTACAGTATGTCTGATAATATTTTTCTTTTGGAGAAAGACTTTTGTTTTATTTCGGCTAGAATAAAAAGCGGTTTAAATTTTTTTTATGAACCATTTTAAGGTCAAAATTATTAGCCCCTTAAGTCTTCAGAACAAACCATTGTAATAAAATAACTTGCCTAATTACCTTAACTTAACAAGTTAACTTAGTTAACCTAGTTAAGCCTTTAAATGTCACTTTAAGCTGTATAGAAGTGTCTTAAAAATATCCAGTCAAATATTATTTACTGTCATCATGGCAAAGATAAAATAAATCAGTTATTAGAAATGAGTTACTAAAACTAATATGTTTAGAAATGTGTGGAAAAAAATCTTCTCTTCGTTAAACAGAAATTGGGGAAAAAAATAAACGGGGGCTAATAATTTAGGGGGGCTAACAATTCTGACTTCAACTGTATTTATATATATATATATATATATATATATATATATATATATATATATATATATATATATATATATATATGCGTGTCTGTGTGATGTATGTAAAATTTGGCCCGAGACAACGTTTGTTTTTTTGCATCTGGCCCTCGGCCCAAAAAGTTTGGACACCCCTGCTTTAAAGTCATAGAATTACATAGGGTGATTTACTGTAAGCATTTTTCTTCAATATTTATGTACTGTACAATTATGAATGAAAATATGGGTAAACTCTCATTTGTAGTAAGTCAATCTAGCCAACATGAATGTACTAGACCCTTTAAAATCATAACATTACAGTAGGGTGATTTACTGTACATATTTTTATTCAATATTTGTGTACTGTAAAGATATGGATGAAAATATGGGTAAAATTTCACCTGTAGCACGTTAGTCTGGCCTGTATGCATGTACTACACCGTTAAAAATCTTTAAATTACAGTAAGGTGATTTACTGTAAATATTTTTCTCCAATAATTATGTACTGTAAAAATATGAATGAAAATATGGGTAAACTCTCACCCGTAGTAAGTCGGTTTAGCCTATATGAATGTACTACACCCTTCAAAATCATAAAAGTACAGAAGAGTAATTTTACTGTAAAAAAATGTCTTCAATAATTGTGTACTGTAATAATATGAATGAAAATATGGCTAAATTTTCACCTGTATTAAGTCAGTCTAGCCTATATGATTGCACTACACCTTTTAAAGTCATAAAATTACAGTAGGGTGATTTACTATAAACATTTTTCCTCAATATCTGTGTATTGTGAATTTATGGATGGAAATATGAGTAAAATTTCCCCTGTAGTAAGTCAGTTTGGCCTGTGTGAATGTACCACACCCTTTAAAATCATGAAATTACAGTAGGGTGGCTTACTGTAAACATTTGTTTTCAATATTTGCATACTGTATATTTATATGAATAGAAATATGAATAAAACTCAAGTGTAGTAAAGTCTGTCTGGCCTTTGGTAATGTGCTACATCCTTTAAAATCGTAATATTACAGTAGGATGATTTACTGTACATTTACTGTTAAATGTTTTTCTAGATTATTTGCATACATATTTGCATATTTATATAAATTTAAAATATGATTAAATCTCACTTGTAAGCCAGTCTGGCATGTGGAGATTTTTTTTTCAAAGCATTACTGAACATATATTAATGGAAATATTTGGAAAATCTCTCCTGTAGTAAGTCAATTTAGTCTCAAGGAATGTGAGCACACTTTAGAATGAGAATCTTACATCTAGGTGAACCACTGTAAATATTTTATATGCTCCCTTATAAAAGTATTTTGTATTTTTAAAATATAGTATTTTATTTTGATGCATTTCTGGCTGCTGTATTTTGTAGTTTGTGACTCTCTGGTCATTAAAAATCCCACTAAACTTTATGTAACGAGTGGGAATGTAACCCCAGTGTCCTGCCCAAATTTTTCTATCATGACCTGTTAATAACTGCAAATCCTCTGACTGTCATCACATGTTTTTTTTTCTTCTTTTTTTTAACAACTGGTGATTCGCTGGAATTTTGCCATTATGCACTATAAGTGGTCAGTTTATCTTTACGCTGATTCCACATCAATTATTGCCAGCATCTTACTGCTTAAGAAATGTGTCAACCTATAAGAAACAGTTTTAAGTGTCTATTTAAGAAGTCGACATTCATGTTCTAATATGGTCAATACAAACAAATATTTGATTAGTTGTGATGCTGTGAAAATGTGTGCGTGTGTGTGTGTGTGTGTGGGCGGTAGGATATGATGGGGTCTGAGTAAAAGAAGCATACAGAATTAAATTGTATGCAGAGTTTATTTTGTACAACATTTTCTACATGAAAACAAAGCATATATATATATATAGTTGAAGTCAGAATTATTAGCTCCCCTAAAGTGCTTGTTTATTTTTTTCCCAATTTTTGTTTAACGTAGAGCAGATTTGTTTAACACATTTCTAAATAAAATAGTTTTAATAACTCATTTCTAATAACTGATTTATTTTATCTTTTCCATGATGACAGTAAATAATATTTGACTAGATATTTTTCAAGACACTTTTATACAGCTTAAAGTGACATTTAAAGGCTTAACTAGGTTATTTAGGTTAACTAGGCAGGTTAGGTTTATTAGGCAAGTCATTGTGTAACGATGGTTTGTTCTGGACTATCGAGAGAAAAAAATAGCGTGAAGAGGCTAATAATTTTGTTCTAAAAATGTTGTTTAAAAAAAATAAAAACTGCTTTTATTCTAGTCGATATAAAACAAAAAAGACTTTCTCCAAAAGAAAAAATATTGTCAGACATAATGTGAACATTTCCTTGCTCTGCTCATCATTTGGAAAATATTTTAAAAAGAAGAAAAAAAATCAATTGGGGCTAATATTTCTGACTTCAACTGTATATATATATATATATATATATATATATATATATATTAGAAATTTTACAATTCTGGCAAACATACACTGGATATAATAATTAATAACAAATCAAAACTTTGAATTTACACCGTATAACAGCACCGTATATAATGTGTATTGTATATTTTACAAGTGTGCTCTGACAATCCATATATGTGTATACATTTGCAACATTGTTATATTTGTACAACACTTGCATAACTAAAAACAATAATAATATTCATAATAATAATAATAATAATAATAATGCAAAAGTAACCAGTGCATTTTTTATTAAACGCAAAACATTTCCTTCAGCTTTAAGACATGACAAAAAATTATGTGTAATACATAATTCAAAACATGGGTGAAACACATGTAAAAATTATGAAGTATTCCTTATTAGTACCACAGTATGTTGGGCCATTGGTTTTCCTATGGCCTGGTTTAATCTTTCTCATTTGTGTTCGTCAGATTGTGGAAGACAGTGCTAGACATGCTTCATTATTATTCCTCAGCTGAATATTTCTCATGTTCCCAGTGAAAGCACAATATGTTTAACAGTATCGTTTTTAGATGCTTGTCATGTGCATATTACAAAACAGCTGCATCTGTGTAATAACTGACGCATATTTCCAAATTAAGCATACAGTTCTGACATTATATTTTTGTAGTGAAAGAATAATGTATTACACATGTCCTATTTTTCAATTAGATGCATGTTAATTGTATATAATAGTCCAAACCATTTGGATTACATCATTTTAACATAGATCAAATGAACGTGATGCACGTTTGTCACATAGCAATGATGGTGTGTTTGCAACAGTGCTCATCTGAAAGGTTTCGAAGTTTCTTTCATACACTGCAACTATCCAATTGTCCTTGTTCAATAAGTTTTCAGCTGACAAAATTTCATTGCAATTTCCAGATTGATGTTCATTCTAAGCGACAGAAGGAACTGTTTTCCTAGCGACTTCTGAACGAACGGCACATTTACAAAATGCTCTCTTCATTGCATCTTGCAGCTCTTTATTCCTCAAGCTGTAAATGATGGGGTTCAGCAGGGGTGTCAGGACGGAATACAGCAAAGCAATCATTATGCGGACTTCAGGGTCAAATTTAGACACTCTGTATGAGATGTACACAAAGAAGGCAGAACAGTATGAGATAAACACCACTATCAAGTGTGACACACAAGTCGCCCCGGCTTTAAGCTTCTGTGCCATGCTCATCCTTCTCATAGCTTTCCCAATATACACATATGAAATTAAGATGAGAAGGAATGTGAGGAGAAGTCCAATTAGGGCAAGTGCAAGAGCGAAAAAGCTATTTCTGGTGGTGTCGACACAGGCGAGGGTCAGAACTGAAGAGTGATCGCAGAACATGTGCTTAACAACATTAGGTCCGCAGTACGGCAGCTGAGTTGCCCAAATAACTGGGGGCAGAACTATAAGTGCCCCATAAGTCCATGAAGCAAATATCAACAGAACACACAGCTTTCTGGTCATGATAGTCGTGTACCGTAGAGGGTTACAGATTGCTACGTAGCGGTCAAACGCCATCGCGGTCAGCAAACCGCGGCCTGTCAGTCCCATCCAGAGAACAAATTGTATCTGCATAAAACATCCGGTTTTGGAAATGGTCTTGTCCCCTGTAAGGAAAACTGACAGCATTTTAGGAATGGTTACTGACGTGTACACAATATCAGAAAAGGACAAGTTGTGAAGGAAAAAATACATAGGAGTGTCGAGTTTTGGGTCAGTTCTAACAAGGTATATGATCATGCTGTTTCCACTCAGAACAGAAACGTAGACGGTGAAGAAGATGGGAAGCACGATTTTATCCTTGAGCCCATCCAGGATGAAATATTCCACCGAGCCGCTGGTGTTCATCCTGGTGATACACAGCCGTGCAGATCCTGACCTGGACAACTTATATGCACTGTAAAAAAAAAAAAAAACAAGAGTTGAACATGTTATTACAAAGAAAGAGCAAGTAATGTAATCGCATTACATGTGTTTATCAGTCAAATGTGATTAAATATTGTTTACACAGTTTGAAAACTAGATGCTTTTTTTTCCCTAAAGGTTCCATAATTTGCTACATGTTTAGTGATACATGCAATTCTCCGAATACATCTTTTTCCTTTACATATTAATATATTAAATACTTCTAATAACACATAATATTATGCTTCAGACATAATTTAAACACACACCATCAAGGTTCAGATTCTTAAATGCATAGAAAGGCATTTCAATGGTATGTGGAAGTAATTCAACTGACCTTACATTAAAATATGAAGTGAAATGTAGTCAATACTGTACATAACAGTCACTAATAACACAAGTCAATTCTGTTGTTTCTTGAGTCTCGAACTGCGTAGAGTCAGTCGGTGTTGTCACTCTGGCATCTTCCTGTGTGCGATGAAACTTATTCAGAAGACCCCTTAAATACAGTCTGTGTCACGAAGGAAACAACGTATAGTATGTGTGTGTGTGCGCGTGTTTGTGTGTGTGTCTTATATATCTAACGACTAGATGATGTTGTGCAGGCGATTTCCCTGGTAACATCTCTCAAAGTGCATCATTAAGAGGAGAAACTGACAGGCGAAATTCATGACAATTTTTTTTATATTTGTCCTAAAGACTGTCTTTTTGACACACAAATATGGCTGTTGTAAGGTTCAGGTAATTACTGAAATAGATAAGCTGTGTGTTTTTATTAGCAAACCCATAATCAAAAATAAATTTGCATTGTCTATTACCAGTCACAGTCACGCAAAATCATTACTGTGACTATCTGCAGCTTCCTGCCCCCACAATCTCAAACGAGCACCCAGTCTGATCTCTCTGCTCTTTCCTTTCCCCAGTAGCTCTTTATCAGATTTCTTCTCGATAATTAATAATAATGTGCTAACTTTATAATAACTTTTGCTTTGGCTTAGTCCCTTTACTTTTCAATGCTTGTCACAGCATAATAAACCACCAACTTATCCAGCATATGTTTTAAATGCTTCACGACACCACCGCAGAAAGTCTAGCATCAATTTGTGAACACTGTGAATGTTCTCTTCACAATGGGATCCGTTACGTGGGGGACACTGTGCAATATAGGAGCACATCATTTCTCGCTTATATTAGTAGGTGCTGCCATTAATCTGTGGGTCACGTAATCAAAAATTGGCTGCATGTTTTCTTTTGGGTGGGTCACGAGTGGATAAGATCAATCTTTGATTATGCAAATTTTGACTACTTTTTCAAAAATATCAAGGGGTTTTAAGCAATTTTATCTGACAGACTGGAACAAATATTCAGACATCATTCTCACAACAAGTTTCTGAGCACTCTCATCCTTTTAACAGAGTTTGTTCTTCCGAGGTAATCTGGGAACATGTTCAGCACTGTGAATCCATTGTAAAAGCATGTTCTGCTTGTTCAAAGTTTTAGTAACAGACTTGTTTTGAAGCCACATGTGTTATTTCGGTATTCTTGTTTATCTAGTAAATAAAAGACCAACAAAAATACGATAAAATTTAGATACAAATTAAACTAAATGAAATTTGTTTCATTTCCAAGACAAATATATGAAATACCACCTTTAGTTCACACCTGTAAACATTCACTGCATCGGGCTTGCGCAGCTCTCACCTCCACCCACAATCGTCAGCACTACCAAGCAGACAATGACTAAGGCGAGGGCTATGCATCCATGCGTAGGCTGCGCCGTAGCATACGCAAGCGCTTGACGCAGAAGTATAAATCAGCCTTAAATAGACAGAAGCCTATGGAAAGTGCCGTGAGGGTGTCCCTGCTCAGTGGAGTCTTGTAGGTCGAGTTGATAGTCTTAATCCTTGTCAGTCTGCACAGAAGGAGGGTCAACACTGCCGCTGGAAGCATTGCTACCTAGGTATATATACACCTACTCTCGCTCTAGTGAATGAAGCTGAGATCAGCTCACCCTGTTTAGAGGCATGTACAGAAGCAGGGCTCAAGCTGATGACATTCTCTCTTCCTAAACCTTCTGGTCCATCCAACTCTGGAACAGTTCACAATCCTGCTGCTGTGCCTGGAGGAGTACCTTATATATGTGCTCCTGATTGATCCTTGTCTCCTGTAGTGGATGGTTTTGTTCTTCATGGAGGCCTGAGAGCAACCTTTACAAACATTGAGCTTGATAGGAGCTGCATAACAGCGGCAGCAAAACTTCTTGTTTACTCGTGTGATGGTGTCAAATAATGAAACGAAAAACAGAGTAACAAACTTCTTTGTGGATATGTCATCCCTAGAAGGTCCCAGAGGTACTGAACTCCATTGCTGTTCACTTGTAGGCAGGCTGTCAGCAAACAAAAGCAACTTCATTGAGTTCTGACAGATGCAAGGCAAGCTGAATTCCACCTGATATAACCTCAAGGATTTATCTGGATGGTTGCAAGGTAAAGCCCAACAGCAGCACATTAGACTAGTTAAACGCTATTACAAGGGGACATCCTTATCCACTTTTCAAGTTAAAGCTTTGATTCAGTTTACCGTGGTCTCGAGGCATTAAAGCTTCTAAACAAAAACCTCAGCTCTCTCAATGGTTTAAATACAAAGTGTACTATCTGATCTACCACAGCAAAGAGCAATGTTAGAAGTGTCGTCATTCTCATACTCCAGAAAACTGTAATCTTAAGGAACCCTGTGGTGTGATTAATCTAAGCAGATTTTGCCTGGCAAGGCGGAAGCAGATCTAGGCACTATTTTTCAAGTGGCTGACAGGAAACTCAAATATCTTTTAAGGATTTGGTTTGCTCCATTAAGAGTGGACTTCGAGTCACAGTGGGAATTTAATCTCTGTCAGAGGATATGCTTATCTCCATCCTAATTGAAATGGAAAGTATCCGTATTTCCAAGTTTCTTGGATGCATTTTAGTTGATGTTACCAGCCCTGATCCTCTAACCTTGAATTTGCCTGCCAACACATTAATCAAAAGGGAGCAAGGAGCATTGTAATGATAATGACCCTAGTCTACCATGAGTCCATTGGCCTGTGGGTCAAGTCCTGAAGCTCATACCAAATAGAATACAAACTTGAAATTAGATCCTCAACCATGAAGAATTCTACTAATGTACACATTTGCTGCTCAGATGTGGGGGCAGCTGTTCAGAATTCTCCATGCCTGCCCAAATGGCAGAGAAGGCACATATAACAGGTGATTTGTGGCATGAGGTGACACCACTTTCCTGGATGGAGAAATTCGATAAGCATTAAGTAGTGTTGCATCAGCCAATCTGATTGGAAAGTTAGCTTGTATTATTTGAATTTTGAGTGGTACACCGTGTAAGCTGTAATACCAGCTGGTTTTCCTTTTTCAGTCAGGTCAGGCTGGTGATGTTCAAATTATTAGGTACCACCTATAGCATGCAACCAGTCCCTGAAACTGTCTCATTTACTTTTTAGTACTGGGTCTCAGAGAGGATACAATTGCTATAATACGGACAAACCAGAAGCTCCCACCAGGTTAGCCTTGTCTTCACTCAGCTTGGCTCCACATTTGTTGCTCTGTTGGTGAACTTGGATTAAATTGCAAGTCTGAAAAGTTCCTATATTTGCTATTACATTATACTCCACATGTTGTTATTGAAATCAAATTACAAAATGTGAGTGTTAAATGGATGCTCAGCATTTTAAAACAGTGTCTTAAAGTCTTAAATCACTTTTCTGTAATTGAGGGCGCTTTCACACCTAAACTTTTGTTTCTGTCCCGTTTGCCCAGTTAGCGCGGTTCGTTTGGCATATGTGAAACCACCAATCGCTCTCAGATCCGCGCCAAATCAATCGCTCCGAGATCGCTTGATTGAGGTGGTCTCGGCTCGATTGAAACGAACTCTGGAGCAGATCGATTACAGTGAGAAAGCAAACGATCCGAGCGCGGTTATATCACCGTGTTTTATGGATATGTAATTGGTATACGGCTATAAGAAGAGAGAATTATGAGTAGGGCGGGAAGTTTTGCAAGTCTCCGGATGCCCGCAAACCTCGCGACTCCCTCCCGGTCCTTAAATTCGTTGCGCACTCTTCTCACCCCTCCCCACTGCATCTCTCCTCACTTTTCAGACAAGTCGGGCACACCTTTTCAAACACCACCAAACCACCAAATCCTGACACTCTGACCAATGTAAAGAGAGTTTACTCACACGTGACTTGTTTTAGCTCTTTTGGTCCGATTAGAAACTTTGCAGTGTGAAAGCGAACCGCTCCAAGAGCAAAGAGCAACAATGTAACATTTGTAATCTCTGTTTCGGAACAACTGAATCGATTCACAGGTGTGAAAGCACCCTAAGCCTAAGGTTTTCAAAAGGTCTTAAATCAGAGTGCCATACCTTGAATCCGTATGATCCTGGCATACATTTTTATGAGGAGTTGTTTCCTTGTGTTTCATATAAAAGAAATCAAAGGTGTTATTTCTTTGCTAGAGATGGTTAATTACAACAACAATATTGCTGTAAATTGATCGAAGCTGCTTCCCAGAGATGGAAGGGCATCCGCTGTGTAAAACATGTGCTGGATAAGTTGGTGAATCAATCATTGTGGCGACCCCAGATTAATGAAGGGACTAAGCCGAAAAGAAAATGAATGAATAAATGATCAAAGTTGCACTGTCATGATCATCAAGAAAACAGCCAATAACATGCCAATAACAAGGGTCAAGAATGTGTCCACACTAGGTAGGGGACAAAAACCAGTTTTAAAGTTTACTGCGATTTGGAAAGGTCAAGGTTTTCAAGCCACAAAAATGAAGGTAACCTAAAGTATATGTTTTTTAGATGTTTTTTTATGTCTTGTAATGAAATCTGTGTTTTTGAAACTAATAAAGAGAACAGAAGTCAATAATCAATTGTAAGTACTTAGCCTGACATGGTTACTGTTCCAAAATATTATAAACATTTTCTAAAATAAAATGTATTTTGTTGAATGGGGGAATTTTTTTGTTTGTTTTTTTACCCAGACATTTAAAAATAACTTATTTTAGAGCAGTAATCACTATACTGTGATTCCATGGTAAAGTATTATTATCCAAGATTATCATACCGTCAGAAACTTATACTGGCCCATGCCTATAGTCCACACTTTTTTACTTGCATTTTCATTTTTAAATTCTTCATGTAAGTAAATATTTTAATATTTTACAAGAGAACACATTTGCCTTTAAAAGTTTTAATGGTTTGAAACCATTCAAAGGATAGACAGGCTAGTAGTAGGCCTATACAATGAATCATGTTGAATAAACTGATTGAAAGTAGAGGCATGCTGCAATTTATTACTCTATTTACCATCACTATAAAGCAGATTTTCACAAATAAAAACCTGTTTAAAAAATAACTTAGGCAAACTTTAAACTGCTAAACATTTGAATTGAGACAAACAAAATACTTTGTGAAGTTCAGATGAAGGTGTGTGGTCAAATATTCAAATTAAGAAGACAGTTTCCTTGAACTTTTTTTAGTTTTATCCTA